TTTGAGATTCTCTCTTCTATCTCTTGTATTCGGTTGGTGATGCTTGCATCTATGACTCCTGATCTCTTTCTTAGGTTTTCTATTTCCATGGTTGTCTCCCTTTGAGCTTTCTTTAGGGAAAGTGTATCTTTATGGCAGTAATTATTAACTCTGTTTCGAGTTAGGTTATGCAACTCAGATTTAGATGATTCTAAGGAGATTCTCTTAAATACTATTTATTCCTTTATACTTTCTATATGTGTGCCTCCCTGCATATATGCATATACACACTTGTGCTGGTGACCGCAGGGACATCAGAAAGGGACGTAATATTCCTTGGAACTGGAGTTATAGGCAGTTTTGAGTTACTGAATGTGGGTAATATACACTAAACCTGTGTTTATTAGTGAGTAAATTAAGTGATTTTAACATTAGCTATAATTGAGAATAGAATGAAAACCATACAAATACTGCAATATTCATCCTGCAATTCAAACCACAAAAAGTGGGACAGCAAGATGTTCTCCTTTGCCATTAGGGTCTGCCTACCTATACACCACCTATAGACACTACAATTGGGCAAGAATTAACCACGCAAACATAGGTGGCATTTTACCAGTTTCCCACAAATGTATAATGAAGTACTACAAGCTGGATGGTTTAAAACAAGAGAAAGTTAGGGACACAAGTTTGAAATCAGGTGTCTGCTGGGCTGTGTTGGCTGTGCTGGCTGCTAATCTTTCCCAGACAAATTTAGTGTTGGCGTTTTGATGGCAGTCTACATGCTGTCCTCTGCCCATATGTCTTTATGATGAATCTCCTCAGTGTCTCTCTGACTCTGTACAAACTTCCTCTTTTTTATAAAACACCTGTCATTCTGGATTAAAGCTCACCCAAATGACCTTATTTTCACTGTTTCCCTCTGTGATGACCCTATTTCAAATAAAGGCACATTAAGAAGCTATGAAGTTCAGCCTGGCTTTGCAGAGAGGAACATAATTCAATTCACAGACATAGCCAAACACTGCAGATGTCCAGTATATCTGAAGGTGGGGTTTTAGGTTTTTTTTGCTAGGAAAATATTACAATTTTCTTTTCAGGAACTCTCTGGGAGGTTCAGTGCTTGAGCCATCTATGCTGACAGAAATGACTGGTATTCTTATTTCATAGCTCTGGCAATCATCACTCAACTAGCATTTATAAGCATCTCTAATAAGAAATTGTAGCTATTAATATGTGCTGCTAGGCTTGCTGCTATTTAATGCATTAATAATGAAGCACATACATATATCATGACACAATACTTGCATTATTGCAAATGATTTACATTTGTGTTGATTTGATTACATTTTAGGCATTTAACTACATTAGTCTGAGAAAAATACAATTAAAGTTTAATCCATAGTCTCAATAGATTTTCATACTTCAGACTTAAGGTAGGTATAGACTGAGTAGTCAAGAATCATACAGGACACTATGTGTTAAACTATTTCTTTTACCATGGTCCACCAAGGTCCCCTATTTTACATGTAACCCAAATACATCTCATATACACCACTCACTCAGAATCCTGAAACAAAAGCATCATAAAACAGTTATTTATCTTTATTGCATAGTATGCATTCTGATACTTTCTGTAATACTTCCCTTTAATAAAATGTTAATTTTAACTACTAAATTTATTTTTTATAACTAGAATAAAAATGAAATAATTTTGTTAAGTATCTTTGGAGACATTTCCTCAGAAATTTCTCATAGACTATTATAAAAAGTGAAAGCTGAAAAAACATGTGAAATCTGACAATACATATATTTTTGTACACACACCCCCAAACACATAACTTTAGAGGTGGCATTTCAATGAGCAAATACTTCAACTAACCAGGTACTGCTTAGACAACTGGTTATGTAAATGAACTATGTAAATTTTAATGGTGTGAAAATAAGCTTTACCAAATGTAGAAACAAAGGCTTAAAAATAATATTTTAGGTAATTTACAAACTATAAAAATACTTTAAATCCTCAGAGCTTAGTTTCTTTGACAAATTTCTTCACTCACAATTACAACATCAGATACAGGTGCTTTCTCAACAGCTATTTACTTACAACATAAAATGTTTTACCTGTAGTAAACTCGTAATGTCTGGATTTCTTCTTCCAGTCTTTTGTACTGTTCAACTGCAGTTTCTCTGGCTTGCTGCATTGATAATAATTTTGCCTGCAAGTAATTGTTTTATAATTGGTTATTAATGTTGGTATGTTAAAATACTGGATGAGGTGTAACTGTTAATTAGACCTTTTTGGTAGTTTAAAGTTCTAGTCATGTTTTTCTCAGCCTCAATTTCCCACAAAGTAGTTCAGATACACTGGAAACAGAAATACTGAAAGACGCAAATGTCGTAAGGGTATTAACTAAACTTCAACCATATTTTATCTGTGCCATCAAGTTATGTCTTTCTGCAATGTTTAACTTTATACACATAGTTCAGAAAGTGGAGCATGGGTTCAGGGAAGCATCTAGAGTGAGATAAGCACAGCGGGCATTTCTCATACAATTTAATGTGGCTCCACTGCCTGCTCCCACTAGATTTTCTTTTAACTTTATTAACAGTAAGACTCAGGAAGGTTAAGTATGTTGTCAAGCCATCTTTGACACACAAAACTATGGCCTGATTCTTACAGACACAAGTTAACCCTGTCAGCTCCTTTTCTGTAAGGGAAAATTTCCTCCTGAAAGGGCAGTGATAGGAACTTTCACTGCTAGAGATACTTTGCTCAAGGATATTGTCTCAAAGAATAGGCAATCGAGTCTACAAAATTTTAAATCCAGTTTATTTTAACTGATAAACCATAATTGTTATAGATATTAATGGAAACTGTGACATTTTCACGCATGTACACATTGTGTGATATATGGAACAAGATAAACTTTTACCATGTCTTATAGATTATCAGTCTTTTGTGTCATAAACTTTTTTATTGGTTATTTTACTTATTTATATTTCAAATGTTATCCACCTTCCCAGTTTCCCCTCTACAAACCCCCTATACCCTACCCTTAGCCCCTGCAAGTCTGAGGGTGTTCCCCCACTCACTCACTCCTGCCTCAGCGCCCTAGCATTCCCCTACACTGGGGCATTGAGCCTCCACAGGACCAAGGGCCTCCCCTCCCAGTGATGCCAGACAAGGCCATCCTCTACTACATATGCAGCTGGGGCCATGGGTCCCTCCATGTGTACTCTTTGGTTGGTGGTTGAATCCCTGGGAGCTCAGGGGGGTCTGGTTGGTTCTTCCTATGGGGTTGCAAACCCCTTCAGCTCCTTCAGTCCTTCCCCTAACTCCTCCATAGGGATGCCCGCTCAGTCCGATGGTTGGCTGCATAAACTTTTAAGGTATTTCCTCCTAGCTTTTTGGAGTGAACTGTTACTTGCATTTTCATTTTGGTAGGGCTCAAAGTTATCGTTTTAAAATATTTTCCCATGTTCCCCTCATCATGTTCACATGCTTTAAAGAATGCAAAGAAGAGCTTAACACTACTTATAAAATAAGGTACTAGCATGACAAGCTTTCATGGTTTATTTAATATTCAATTTACAATAAAATCTTGTCTTTCCCTTTAAATGGCCTTGGACATCTAACATGCAACTGTTTCAATGCTGAAAACCACACTGTCAGTAATTAAAAGTCATTTAAAGTCTGGAGCATTTCAGAGTTTCAGCATTTTGCTGAATGCATATGATTTCAGCGGAATTAGTTTCTGCATAAGAATGTAGTAAATAGGAAAATAATAAAAATCCAATTATGAGAAAATTAATTAGTGTGATGAAAATGAACACTAGATAATGCAACTTTTCTATTTTAATAATGGAAAGTTATAAAAGAATGAGCAGCCTGGATATTTGCATATAAGTTTAGGTACAAGATATTAGTTTGTTTTCTAGCTGGGCTAAGAAATTCTAACCGAGTTACTCTGTAATTAAATTTAAGATGTTTGAATGATTGCTTTAATTTTCTGAATTTCATAACTACAGGTGAGATATCCCCCCCCTAATTAGGAAAAAAAACTCAAAACAAATTCCATTTCCATGTTAAAAATGTTTTCTACTTTAGAGTTATATCCTTATAGACATTTTACAGTTTATATTTTTTGTACCTTTTGTACTTACAGTCTTATTTCAAGGTAAAATTTCATGAAAGTAAAACATATAGCCAACATCCAATAACTATACACATAGATTTTTAAGAATTAGGCTTATGGAGTTATAATTTCCAGACAGTATAAACTCAATGATTTGTAATCTATTATCTGTAATTTTTTTTATTATTTGAGATAGAGTAAGAACTCTGTAGGTCAGATAATTCTGGAACACATGTGTCTGGAACTTAACGCAATCTTTTCTTCAGCTTTCCAAAATGCTGCCATTATAGGCATGAGCCATCAAATTGTAACACATATACATCATATCCATCTACATCATATATGCATACATATATGTATACATCTACTCATGTAATAAGCATAACAGTCAAGGTATAAAACATTTCCATTATCTTCAGATGTCTCGGTGTACATCAGTGCAATCCCTAGCCCCCTTTCATACCTATCCTCTGCTTTATACCTTCCTTTCTGTAGATTATGTAAAAGAAATACAGCTGGTAACTCTTAGTTTACTTAATGCACTGAGATTTGTCTACGTTATTTTACGTACCAGTAGTTCATTCTTTTATAAGCATGAACAATGCTACTTTGAGAACTACAATGTGAATACCTATTCACCAGCTGAATGGCATTTTGCTTTAGTTTTAGAAGCTATTAATACAGTCGCTATAAATATCTGCATATATGTCATTTTCATTTTTCTTGAGTAACTAGCTGCCCAGACATAGAATTTTTTGGTCCTATGATATGTATATAATTACAAAACTTGGCAATTTCATTGAAATAATATTAAGGGTTCAGTCTTAGAAGGATATCACCTAATGAATTCCTGTTCTGGCAGGGGATGATGCAAAGTGCTTAAAAGATCTTAGGTTAGTACAGTTCATCCTTGCAAACTGCCTATAGGACAATCCACATTATTCCCTCGTGAGACATGAGTCACATCATTAGGTAACAAAAGTACTGACAACCAGAGTCATCAGTATGCGTTGTCTGCATTCTGTGTCCTTTCAGCACACCTGAAATAATGATAATAAATTGGTTGCCTAATGCTAAAGCATACATCTGCTTTGAGTACTGTGGTTGAAAAGGACAGCCGTTTGGACTAAAGCTGTATTAGAAAAGAACTCTGCTGTTTTAATAAGTCTTACCTAGCAATTCAGAACAACAAAAGCAGGATTATACTGTTCACAGAACTGAACTATATTTACTGTTGCTATTGTGGATAACAATCTTTATCTTATTTTAAAATCTTTTTATGTTTGGTTTCAATGTGTTTTTAATAGTTATGGTCTGAAATAGTTCAGCCTTCCTTTGGTATCACTAAGATCATTAATTCTGTCTATGACAGAGCACAGGCAGTTGATTGTCTTTATGATATCTGCTAAATAAAGGAGCATGGCTTATAAATAGAATTAAGACTCAGGATGCAGGTTTGAGAAGCATCTTGGAGGTAACACAGTCCTATTTTTATGATGAGAACATTCCTGCTATTGAAACATGTGCAGAGGAAACAGTTGGAACTTATCCAAGGTTTCACAGTTAATTATAAGGAAAGTTAAAACTATGAATAGAAATATTCATTAAGTATTGTTTATTTCATATTACAAGACCATATTCAAATATGATATAATTTAAATATATGTTACTTTTTCAAACAATCATTTTGAAAGAATAATCATAAATATATTAAATTGTGTTATAACTATGAACATATCTAAAGACATCTTACATGTTTTTAAGGCTGTGTCTAGAGAATTGTTCAAGCAATGACTATAGACATGCAGGATTTTAGCTCTCAAACTTGTGAGCAGATTTCAAGCTTGGTAGATAACATGTAACTATAAATCTGGAAAAACATAGCTTAAAAATTAAAAGTCTTATCAAAATGATAAGTGAGAAGATTTCATATACGATCCTTCATAGAAGGATTTGCTTGCTCACTACACTGTGTAATCCTTCTTAGAACATTTTTAGTGGTTATTTTATACTTGTCTTGCTTTTGGTTTACCAAAATGAAGACAATCAAGTCATTCATTCAAAGAGAACAGTATATGTGCTGTTCAATCACCTATGAAGTGGGATGATATGGGGGGGGAAGGAGATTGTGATGGAAATAGAAATTATAATATTAATAACTCAAGTTGATCCTCGAGCTGTAAGTACAAGTCACAGAACCAAGTTAGAAAAATTAGAAAAAAGTATGCTAGAAACACAGCCCGGCAAGGTCCTTGGAACCAGGGACTTGGAGGTCATCCTGCCTCTCTATTGCAAGCTGTATCATTAGACAGCCTAGTAAATCTTCATGTGCTTTCACTTTCTCTCCTATACAATGGAGTAAGCTAAACTCTATTCGCAAGGTGCTGATACTAATACAATATAATAAAACCTGTGAAATACATAGAATAGTACATAACACATAGAAAATGCCTCAATGACTTATTGTTGAGTAAATAGTAGGAAAAAAGCTGAATCATCAGCTTGATGAGTTAGGAGTCGAGTAGGAGTTACTATCTACCAGACAGAAGAAGAAAATAAATTTTCAGCATCACTCTGCCTTATAAACTTAACATCTTTTCACTCAGACCGAAAAGATGGATAAGTCTCTGTGAGGCCATTTGTAAGTTTTCTTATGATTCTATGTAGCTCTACCAAGAAACCTGTTGTTGACCAAGACAGTGCCTATAAATCTTTTGTCAGTAATAAAGTATGTGCAATATATTAAAAAATTTAAGGGGAAAAAACAGACTGTGCCTTGCTTTCTCAGGCACATGTTGTTCTGTCTCCTTTCTTGGTTAAACAGCTTCTGCTCAAAGCATAATGCCTCAATATTATGAAGTTTATAAAAGACTTAAAGTATAAGATGTTATTGAACTTGACACAGTAAGAAATTGAATGCTTTTGTTGAAGGGATAAATGTTATTTCTATTATTTTGGAAGGGAGGAAAAACAAGAGAGAATAATATTATTAACTGTATAGATATTTTAGTAACAAGAAAAAGGATACAAAATAAATCCAGGTTTTCCAAATCATAATATTTTACTATAATTTTATATAC